CTGCAGGCTGCAGTCAAGACCCTCTCGAGGACAATGTGTGTCTGAGAGACATGTATGTCCATGTTTGCTGCTGAAAGAGACTGATGGTCTGACCCCCCTCCTCCTTTCAGGGTGGAGCCTGCTGGAGGCCGATTCTTGACTCCAGGTCTGAGGAAATGTAAGTGTGTTTTTCATCTGATTCATGACAACAAAGCAGCTCACATTCAACCATCTTCAAACTGTCACATCACTCATTCAGGAGTCAAAGTGTCAATAAATGATCAATAACTGCAGCTGGATTGTGTTTGTTCTCCATCAGATTCCTGTCAACTCACCATCGACACAAACACAGTGAGCAGAAACCTCAAACTGTCTGAAGACAACAGGAAGGTGACACATGTGGAGGAGCTTCAGTCATATCCTGATCATCCAGACAGATTTGATAATTATCTTCAGCTGTGTAGAACTGGTCTGACTGGTCGCTGTTACTGGAGGTTGAGAGGAGAGGAGATGTTAATATATCAGTGAGTTACAGAAGAATCAAGAGGAAAGGAAACAGTGGAGACTGTGTGTTTGGATGGAATGATCATTCCTGGAGTCTGAACTGCTCTGATCGTGTTGGTTTCTCTGTCTGTCACAATAACATAGTAACTCGTCTCTCCTCCTCCTCTGTCTCTAACAGAGTAGCAGTGAATGTGGACTGTCCTGCTGGCATTCTGTCCTTCTACAGAGTCTCTCTGACTCACTGATCCTCCTCCACACCTTCAACACCACATTCACTGAACCTCTGGTTCCTGGATTCTGGTTCTGGTCCAGTCCTGGTTCTTCAGTTTTCTGAGCTGATTTGAGTCTAAAGAGTCTAAAGTTTTTCCTCCTGTCAGAGAAACTCTCTCACTGTTGAACAGATAGTTCAGTCTCTACAATCTATTTCTTGTTGAAACGATTCTGATTGAGTCCTTGGAAACTTTTTCTTCTTCCAGTCCTTTAAAGATGGAAGCTGGGATTATTCCAGGATTATTCCAGGATTATTCCAAAGCTTGACCTCATGACCTCGTGTGTTTTCTCCTGTAGAGGAAGTGCTGCTGCTTCTGTTTTAGCTCAAACCTGAAACAATCGACCTCCTGATGAACACAAAGTTCTGCAGAGTGTGTGTGAACACACCACTGGGTGTGTGTGTGTTGACTGCTGCCCATTATTCCAGGATCCACATGTTTTTCAGTTTTTCAACTGTTTCATCCTGGTGGACAGAAGAACAGGCTTGACAAAATGACGTGAAGAACGATGAGGACCCGATGAGGAACAAAGGACAACCGTGGGATTAATACACAGATGGTAATCACAGAAACGAGAAACACCTGGGAACAATCAAGGGGAAACAGGACAACGCAGAGACTGGAAGCATCACAGAAACATAAGGACCGCTCATTTTGAAGGCTGCCTACGTTCAATAACATGAAAAAACTGCATGTTTTATATAAATTCAATTAGTACTTAATACTCTTTACACAAAGTGAAAGTACAAATGTAATGTGTTTTTTTCTAAATTCCTTCATTTTATGAAAAGATGGTTAGCTCTCTTTATACAGGAGAAACTATTTTTAAGAGAGTTGCCACTGATCAATTAATCGTTATTGATTCTAAGACCAATCATCTTTAGATTAATTCAATCAATCTGTAAAAATGTTAAATAAATTAGTGGTTTTCACTGGCTATACCCAGTAATTATTCATTAAATATAACACATTCTAAAAACACCAGTCTCTTAATGTTATTCCTTTAAAATAAGTTTTGTTTCTAAAATGATCAAATTAAAATAAGTTACTTGTTGATTTTATAAGGATATTCTGTAAAATTGTAACAGTTTCAAATGTCACAATAAAATAATCTCATTAATCCTACATGATTATTTTTCCATTTTTATTCAACAATTAATAATTTCACCTCCAAAAACCTAATTTTTAGTTTATTCCTTGACAATTTTTTTTATTATTCCCCAATAATTAAATCAAATTTACTGACAAGATCCATAAGTTAAAACCTGAATCTCTAACAGGGAACATTTAATGTCCATATCTGGTTTAAAAGGCTCAAAATTAGCAGCCATGTTTAAAAATGTTGGTCATCCTGAACCCAAGTGGCTGATGGGAAACCTGAGGGGTTAGCATGCTAATCTTTATCCCTGTATCTACACTTTAATTACTTTTTCAGTGAAATGCTGAATTTAAATACTTCATCATGTATATTTACATAAGTCTACTCTGAGTCTAGTCAAAGTTTTTATAATGAATCAGTGATTTATGATGTCTTCAGAGCCAATCCAAGCTAAAATTATTTAATTGTTCATAACATAAATATCATGTTTTATTATAATTTGGCAAACCAAGAGATTATTCATGTTTTTATTTACTGTCACAAAGCTTGACCTCATGACCTCGTGTGTTTTCTCCTGTAGAGGAAGTGCTGCTGCTTCTGTTTTAGCTCAAACCTGAAACAATCGACCTCCTGATGAACACAAAGTTCTGCAGAGTGTGTGTGAACACACCACTGGGTGTGTGTGTGTTGACCGCTGCCTTCTTGTCTTGATCACATGCAAATCAGCTGTTATGAAATGTATTTCCTGCTCCATTTCAGAAACCCTTTCCCACTCAGAAGTAATAAAATACACACATTTTGAAGCGATGTTCATTTATATTTGTCAAACTGGGCAGATTAAGCAAAGATAAGAGTGTTTGGTTATTGATCTCTGTTAAAAAGGGAGAGGTTTCGGGTTTTCATAACTTTAGAGCAAAGATAAACTCTGAAGGACTTTCCAGGATGTGATTACATGATCCTTACAAAACATTTTATTCTTAGACCAAAAATAAACAATTCCTCTTCATTTCAGGTGAATAACTGCAAGGTGAAAGTCCTGATACACAAAGAGTGAGTCAAGATTCCAAGATTTTACTAATAAAACAGTTTTTATCAAGCCAGATAATTTAGAGGATTTTCTTTCCAGGCTGAGGGAAGAAAAATGGATGAACATTCAGGTTGGAAACATCATCAAACTGGAGAGCAACCAGTTTGTTCCAGAACTTTCTGATCTCAGATCTGGAAACAAACTTTAACTGAGACGTTACTGAAGCTTGATGTTCAGTTGGTCCAAATCTAAGCTGGTCTGCAGAGATGACTTTAGGGTTTGTTTGTTTCTGCTCACCTGGAGCACCAGCCGGGTGGAGTCAGTCTGAGTTCCTTCATCATCTAAAGAGAACATTGAAGATCCTCCTGGAAAAAATGGAGCTTTGGAAAGAAATCAGCAGGAAGTGAAAGAAAAAGGATCTTCATCACTTGTGAAGTGGACGACATCAGAGTCGGATTCAGTGGAGTCACATGAAGAACAAAAACTGAGGCTAGAATAATAAACATCATGCTAAATATCAGCTGCAGCTAATCTGTCAGAAGAAGCTTCAGGTTGAATCTAAAGGAGGCTGAAGATCTCAAAGTGGATGAGAGGAAACCTGATGAGCTCTACAGTCCACTAGATCCAGATCAGAACCCTGGAGAACATCTACGCTGGAAGCAGAACCACAAGCTAGAAAATATCCAGGTTTCTCTCCAACCTGAATACAGGAAGTCCTTTCTTCTTCTGCTGCAGCTGAGAAGGTCCTGCTGCAGAACTGGATCCACACAGTTCCTCCACAGCAGAACAGAGGAGGTTCTGGAGGAGACCAGGGTCCACATCTGGACTCAGAGTTTCTCCTGAGCTTCAGCAGAGCTGCTGGCTTTGGTTCTGATCCGCCTCTGTTCTGGTGTCTGATCTCCAGAGAGGATCTGAACCAACCCATCAGAACTCAGTGGAGGTGGTGGAGGATGAGGATGGGGCGCGGCGAGGAGGTGGAGGAAGAGCGCCGTGATCCATCTCTCTGCTGTGGAGACCTGAGGGAATCTGACAGAGAAACAGCAGCCTTGAAATTACAACAACACTGTTATTTAATATTGTTGTTGTAACACTATTGCTGTTATTACATTATCAATGACGATAACGTTTCTCCAACATTGATGTTGAGGGCCAAGTGTTCAAATTAGTGATAGATTCCAGTTTTGACATCATATCAATTTGATTTGTTTTTGATTGTTAGGAAATGCACCATGTTGAAATCATATAAAGAAAATTAAGGCTGCCTGGGAAAATACGAATCACTCTGTTAAATTAACATTTTAATATGAAATTCAAAAGTTTTTGTGCAGACAAATCTGCAGGTTTTCCTTTTTAAGAAGAATATTCTAAGACTTAATGCATCTCAAACTCCCTCCAAGCTCATATATCTTTCTAAAAAGTTACTTGTAAATTAGTTTAGTCTTATTTTAAGTGTCCAAATGTACTTGAACAATAAACTAGACCAAAAATAAATGGTAATATTTTTTTTTCTGATAGTATCCACGTTTTAACTCAATATAAAGTCAGTTCTTGTAATTGTGGCTGGAGAAAGACATTCTCTACCTTTTCTCTACTTTTCTAGCTGAAGAATAGCGCGCTAGCATGGCAGGCAAGTCCACTGCATATGCAACATGTAAAACATGACTGCATATGTCTTAAAAATAACTTTAAAAAACCACTGCACAATTATCTGAATGAAGCAACGAGACAAAACCTTTGTTGCCTCTTTACTGCAACTCCTAGTTTGAAGGAAGTGAGGAAGAGGAGGAAGTTAAAGAGGAAGGGGAGGAAATGGAGGCAGAGGTTTGTTGCAGTTGAAAGTGGTTTTTAACATCCTTCATTCTCCAAATCCAAAGTCATTTCCAAAGATTTTCCCCAAACTGAAACGAAAACATCCAACATGGTGGAGTTTTGTTGTCTGGTTTTATTCTCATCTGTGAGGATTTCCTCTTTAGATTAGCAGCATTTTCCCTTATTTCCATAAAAGCGCCACTTTCACGTCACCTTCAACTGTATTTTTTCATTTTAACACTTTATTTTGTTCCTTTTCTAAACCATGTGTGATAGACTGAGAAGGAGAGTGGGTTAAACATGTTATCTGGGATTAAATCACCTTAATATTCACCAAAGAGTCCAGAAATCATTTGGATTTATACAGCTCCTCCACCTCTTCAGGACAGTTTGACACTGTTTGTGTTTTTTTATATCTCTAACAATTTTCTGACTCAAAGATGGACGAACCATTTGAGAAGGTAGGCACAAGCAGAATATCCTAAATTAGATCCTTAATAAGCAATTTTCCACTTAATGAGTGTCAAAATGGGGCATTTCATCCAAAATGTCTTGTTTTACCTCCCAACTTTCTGCCACATAGAGAGAAAATGCATGTGAGGATCATGAGGTGAGTTCATGCGTTACAGGAGGTGAACTGTAACATGCATGTTATATATGAGTAGAAATGCAAACTACACCAACAAGGTGTTTAACGGACTCGTAATGCAACCGTAGACTCTCAGGTGTTTTGTAATAATTTCGCTTTAAAAGTAATTTAGCTTCCAGGTTCTGAGTCCTCAGTAAAAATCCCAAAACTTCCCAGTTTTATTTCCCTTTTTCTTTCTCTAAAACCTTTTGTCAGCCTTTTGAACTGAAGGTTTCTCTCCTCCAGATGGACACGGAGGCCAGCGACCTGCTCAACGACCTGCAAGGTTCGCTCAACAACGTTCTGGACGACCTCAGCAGCACGTTTGGGAACAGGTACGCCGCCCTCACACCCCCACGTTTCCCCACTTTGTCCAGTGCATCACTGGCTTTTCTTCTCCTGCAGCTTCCAGAGCCGCATCACCGACTGCATGCGGCAGATGGCGTCGCTGCTGTACAGATCAAAGGACCGCTCAACGAAAACACCAAGACCAGGTGGAGGCGACTCGGACAACATGCTGCGGCCGCTCATGGACTTCCTGGATGCGCAGTGGGTTCAGTGGGATTTCCCCAAACACGGCTCGTCCGTCGGCGTGTGTGTGAACGTCTTGTTTTTGCAGATTAACGCTGTTCGCCACGGTTGTGAGAAAACCGTCCTGAAGCGCTTCTGAAGGAGCTGTGGAGGATCGTGATGACCAGCCTGGGAGAAGAACATCGTCCTGCCGCAAGGGAACGACACCTTGGTGAGTCTGACGCTCGTCTCCGTCACTGGACAGGTTTCCATCCAGATGGTTTTGAAATGTTGTCAAAAAGTGTGAATTACATAACAAACACCAATCTTACCCAAATATTTTTGATCTAGTTGTCAGTGAAACTATCTTAGAACAGCAGAAAATGAGAAAACTAACTCACAAATAGCTTTTCAGCAAGAAATAGAAGCTTGTTTTTAAGTCAATAATTTCTTAATATTGCTGACAAATTTGATTATTTCACCTAAATCAAGATATTTTTGCAATATTATAAGATGTATAATAACCAGACTAAAATCTCATTTATATCAATAATTTTGTGCAAAATAAATATAATGAACTTATTTTGTGTAGGACAGATTATTTCACTTATGACAAAACATTTTCCCTTAAATTAAATAATCTGCCAACTACTTTTTTAAATCAATATTAAGGAATTATCGACTTAAAACAGCTTCTTCTTCTGATAAGTTACTATTAAGTTACTTTTGTCTTATTTAAAATGTGCTGAGATATTTTTAAATTCTAATTCAAACATACTTTATTGATCCCAAAAGAAAAGTTAAATGTTGTAATTCACATTTGTCAAATTTGCACTAGAAACTAGAGCAAAAATACTTGGTGAGAGTTATGGTTTTGCAGTGTAATTTACATTTTCTTTTATACATTATTATAAAAATTTGCTCAAAATTTGAATCACAGGGATGGAAACATGGCTGCCATTTTGAAATGGATCAACTCGTAATTGTGTCAGATGATGAGATGTAAACATTTTGACAGACGTGACCAAACACAAAAATATTTTTATCCATTATGTTTTAAAATGATGACTGTGGCATATTCAGTTAATTATTAGTCAACAAACTGAACATCATCCAATCACATATAGAGTAGATAAATAACTCACTTTATGTATGAACATGAGTTGTATCGATGCTTTTTTTCCCATTTCCATCAAACTTTACTAATATGATACTTAAAATTGAAACAAGGCTTCTGAAAACTAAAAGAATAATTCATTTTTCTGTTTTTCCTGAAGGGAGCACAGATCCTTTCTGCTGCTAAAGAACTGGACACCTTTCCAAACTGAAGGTATCAGGTTGCCTTTGAGTTTGCTTTCTCCTGTGAATTGGTCTAGTCAAAGTCTTGGTTTGGGTTGTTTAGGATCACATGGCAGGAGACGCTAAAAGCCTGACGCCCAGGCAGTGTGCCGTCATGGATGTGGCTCTGGATACCATCAAGGTGAGAGCGAAACGTTGACCTCTGGTCAAACAGAAAAGTACAATTCATTCACATTTTAAGAGTCTTTTAGTTGATTAACTAAAAGTCTGATTAACTCCACTTTAAGTTTAATCATTCAGGTTGTAGAACGCTGATTCCTCTCGTTTTGTTTCCTACGCAGCAATACTTTCATGCGGGCGGGAACGGCTTGAAGAAGACTTTCCTGGAGAAGAGCGCTGAGCTTTCGTCGCTCCGCCACGCTCTGTCGCTCTACACCCAGACCACCGACACGCTCATCAAAACCTTCGTGACCACGCAGCATTCACAGGGTAGATCCAAAACGCCTCCAAGGAGATTAAATACGGGAGAGTTTCAGATTCCTCGCTTCTTTTATCTCCTGGATTTGGTTGTTTAAGTTGCTGTCTTGTTTTTATCTCCTGCTGCTCTGTGCCAGTGCACAATGGGAAGGGTATTAGGTTAACCCCTAATGAGAAAATCCAGCCCAGCAGGGGTAGGTCTCCATGAAATCATCATCAGCCCAACTTCCCTTCATCGTTTTCTCTCTTCTGTTTTGTGAAACCTGCGTTTCTGTCGCATGACTCTATAAAACGTGGTTTTCTTTGCCTGCATTGGACCAAATGTTGTTTGTGTTAAACCAGGCTCAGGTGTGGACAAACCCATCGGAGAGGTTCCCTGCAGATTGAGCTGTACACTCATCCCAGAGCGGAGAGCGGAAAGTTACTCTCAAAGGTCCGTTTGGGCTCATTTTGAAGCAATAAAATCAAAGCTGCAGCATTTTAGTGTCATTTCTGTTTAAATGTTTGTGTCATTGATGCAGTGATTGCAGCCAGTGATTTGGAAGTGGCAGACGTCTGGGATGTTCAGACCTTCGTGGAAGTCACGATGATCGGGCCGCACCTCAGCGACAAGAAGCGCCGATTTCAGACCAAATCCAAGAACAACAGCTGGTCTCCCAAATACAACGAGACCTTTCACTTGTAAGTTCAAAACCAAACGTCGTGACACATTTAGGATTTGAAGCTCTTTTAATTCTGACTTCATAAACTGTTGGTTACACAAACAAAGTCCTTGTGAAATTACTGGACAATGTCAGCTAATGCGCTAGCAGCACAGCTAATTGTTCATTTAGTGTTTCTGCTAAACATTTAGTGAAGTTCCTCAAATTTAACTTTTCCAAATAAAATCTGGATTTATTTTAAGAAATTAATTGTGTGGCAATAGTTTTAAAAGTTATTAAAAAAGCTAAATTAGCTCTACTATTAGCACATTAGCAGCTTAATGGAAGTGTCCCTTCTGCTGCAGATGTCAAACTTTATTCAACTGAAAGTCTAGAAAACAGCAAAAGTACATTAGTGCTTTAGAATTTAACTCGAAAACTGATTTAGGGGAATCAAAATGTGTTGCACAACAAATTTGCTCTGCTATTAGCAGATTAGCAAATTAGCAATAGTGTAATCTACCACTGCAGATGTGGACCTCAAATCAAAGTAAAATGTTTTGATTTAAAATGGAAAATTAGATCATCAAAAGCTAGGTGTACGAATGTTTTTAAAGTTTCAGAAAAAGCACAAAATCAGGAATTAGCTCTGCAATTAGCGCCCTAGCCCATGTGCTCCCATCCTGTGTTCTGCTCTCGCTCTGCAGCGTTCTGGGTGTTCAGGACGGGTTCGAGTGCTACGAGGTTCAAGCCTGCGTCAAGGACTACTGCTTCGGCCGCCGCCGACCGGGTGGTGGGCCTGGCCGTGGTGCAGCTGAGGGACATCATGGAGAGGGGCAACTGCGCCTGCTGGTGCCCCTGGGGCAGCGCATCTCCATGGACGACACGGGCCTGACCGCCATGCGGATCCTCTCCAGCGCTCCAACGACGACGTCGCCAAGGAGTTCGTCCGGCTCAAGTCCGAGACCCGATCAGCAGAGGAGGGAAGATGAGGCTCTGCTTGATGCAGTGGCACTGCTTTGACCTCTGACCTGTCTTGGCTGCTGTGTAAAACCTCACCAGCTTCCAGTGTTCTTCAACTTCACATTTTTTTAAGTCTCGTCCGCCTCTACTGAGGAGACAGAACCCATCCAGAACCTGTCAAAGGGCCGAATAAGAACCCACCCGCCCCGAGTGTTCTTGTGCAATAAATCCAACCCACCCCTCCCAAAGTGTGGCCAAGTGGTTCAAGCCTTACACTCTGCAAGCTGTGAATGTGTGTTCATGTAAAAGGAAAGAAATCCCTGTTTTTAATGAACACAAGTCAAATATTTCACTTCACTTAGCAAAGAAAAACTACAAATCACAATTTGTTTTCTAACAGTTTGAGCAGGAAAATGCCTTGTCATGCAGAAACGATGCTAATCCTCGTTTTCACATGAAAAATGTTTGAATTTAACTCATCGCTTCATTTCATCCTCTATTGGTAGTAATTTTTATTTCTCTCTGTTTTCTGCATGTCATGGCCATTTTATTTATATTTTTGTATATTTATTTCCCTTTAAAGATTTGATCTGATTTCTGATCCATTTTTTGACATTTTTGAGTTTTTTGGGGTTTTGTTACAAACTGAGTTGCACAGCAGGACTTGAGTTGGAATGATTACAAGTTTACATTTTTCTCCTTTTTTGTTTTTTATTCTGCTCTTCATACGAGTGGCCTTAATTATAAAAATGATGTTTATTTTTTGTTTATTTTTAATCTCTTTACCTTGTAATTGTTATAATTTGCATATTCTTTCTCCAGATTGATGTCCTTAACATTTTGTATTTTTCATTTTAGTGATTTTATGTAAGCTGTAATCTGTCATGCTGAGTATCAATCCCATGTTTTTTATTTACCATTTCTTTGTATTTCTGTAGACAGCGATTTATTTTGAACTCTTTTTGTTTCAGCAGCTTTTTAATGGATGAAATTAAACTACAGATCCAGCCTCTTACCTTCCCTCAGTAATTCAATGTTTCTGTTGATGGGAGCAAATATTTCCTTGTGCCAAGTTAAGTTTTCACTTTAGGTTTTTTTAATTATTGCACATTTTTGTAACTTTTTGACCATAAATCACTGCATTTATCTGGAGTTTTCATTGGACTGTCACGTCTCTTTAAATCTGTCTCACTGTGTATGATTTCCACTCAATATTTTGTATAAAGTATTTAAGACTTGTATGGAAATGTCTTTTATTTCTTATACTACAGACTAAAAACGTAATTTTCACAGTGAAATCAGTGTATTTATACTGGGCAAATTTATAATAGATCTTATTGCAGTTTGTGAGGAAAAAGGTGCAAATTCAACTGGAAGTCTCTTCTAACCCCACCTGCATCATCCAACCGTTGCTTCCTGTTCATCACCATTGATTAATCAACGTTGGTCCAAGACGCGTCACGTCCAATCACTGTCCAAGTCCCAGCTGATAAATAGCACCGCTTTCCAGCAGAGCTCAACCCTCCTCCACCCCTTCACCTCCACTCGCTCGGCTAACCGGCTGCATCCTTTCTTCACCTCCATCACCAATGTCTGGTCTCGGGGGATGACGTTCCTTTCAGCATATGGAATGCTCATCCAAGCTCATCGCAAAGATTGTGATGATCCATGTCCTCAGCCGGGGCCAAGCGCCAAAGACTTAAATTTTGTATGTCAATAAACTCTTCTAATGGTTTCCATTTTCTCCGTCTAAGTCTCTCCAGATTGAATTAATGTTCAGATGAAATCAACTCAGATTTTTCCATTGTGAACTAACCATAAAAGTTCATCTGAATATGTGTGAAGTGCACAATTAGTCCAAGTTCAGGGAGCAAAAACAATCTTTAATACATCTGCAGACAGAGGGAAAAATATACTCTGCATAGGCGAAAATCTAAATCTGCTCTAACGAACTCAGAGTTACATAGTTGCTTTATTCACCTTCAGAAGGAGAAGATTAAGTTCCCAGACGACCCGCCTGGAAACTTCAGCAGACGCATCTTGTTCAGTTAGTTTGTACACCCTCTGCAGCTGCACCGAAAAACATCTTGACTATGATACAATTACATTTATGTGATACATAAAAGAACACTGTATGATGCAAATAAAACATTTTCTCTTTAAAGAAAAATCTACTTCACATATGTTGGAATGTCATTGTTCCAGAAATGGTGAATTTCATATGTGCATCTTTTTTTTCCATCCGTTTTTCTTTCCACCCCACTTTTTTATTAAAATGTAATACTGTCTTCTGGGAAAAGCCATCTTGTTCAAGAATGAATTTTTGTGGCAGATATTCACCATGATTGATTACTCCATAATGTGGCAATAGTTACCTTTTTTATTGGTTTTGTGTAACCATGCAATTTATTATCTTACAGAATAAAATTGTTCAATTAGCTAACTGAAAAGTGAGTTTAAAACTTCTTTTAGTGTTGTAGTTCAGTCTCCATCCAGTAGAGCGTCCCACTGGTCATTCTGAGGAGCCATTGATACGAGTTTGCAGTGGTATCTCTGAAGAGGAATGAGGTCAAAACCATAAATATGGTCCAGTTTGGGGTCTCCATTTGTGGATTGTTTGGAAAATAGAGTTAATCAATTTACTGGATTGAACTGGAGATTGATAAAACAAGAAGTGGAGTTTTCTCATTTGCATTTTTGTGCCATAAAAGGATTGGAAATCAAATGTGCACAAAGAGTTTGACTGGAAAGTAAAAACCAGATTTAATAGAACACACTGTGTCAAATAAAGTGTTACTCCTTTCAAAACGTTCATTTCCAGGATTCCAACCACAGATGGATGTTGGAGGAATGTGTTGAATGGTCGGTCATCACACACGTCTTCTGGTTCTGACCACAAATAAAGACTTTCTGGGAGGAAATGAAACGGAGACTGAGGACATTCTGAGGACAGATCTCCCCATGGAGCCCTCTTCTGTTTCTGCTGGACATAAACACCAAGGATTTACTCACTAAACATCAATGTTACATATTGTTGCACCTTCTGCTGCTGGTAGCAAGAAAGACAATTAGACTAAACTGGATTAAACCCAGTTCACCAACTGTTGCTGAATGGAGGAAAAACTGAAAACATGACAACATGATGGAGCGTCTGACTGAACAACTAGACATAAAAAAGATCATTAATATGTAGTTTGGAAAATAAATACTGAATTTGAAAATTAAATGTATAGTTTGTAAAATAATTTATTTTGAAACCAAATATTTAGCTAAAACTTAATTTCCCAAAATTTTGTTTACAATCCAAGTAAATATTTAGATTGTGAATTAAATATTTAGTTTTTAATGAACGTTTGGATGACATGATGAAAATATTTGTTTGAAAAATGCATTTTCCCAAACTTTTTCTTTATGACATGATGAATGAACTGAAATACTGTTAGTATTTTCTGTTACTATCAATCATCACTACAGTAATGATCAAAAGTAAGTACACCTTCATTTTATCAGCACTTTTCTCCTTCCTCATAAAGATTTATCAACCTGCCTCTGATTTCAACTCAGAGCTTCTCCTTCCTGGTTCTGTTGCTCTGAAGAAAAAACTACAAATCAGGTGAGCTGTGACATCATCAGTTATACAACATCCTTCACATTTACTTTCAGTTTGAATTTACCTGTTCAGGTGCGGCTCCTGTCTGTTTGTAGAGTCTCAGTTTGTTGTTTAAAT